CCTAGTAGCGATGCCAGGAGCCCCTAGTAGCTTCTTGTTCCTAGTAGCGATGCCAGGAGCCCCTAGTAGCTTCTTGTTAAAGGGATTTCGTGGCAAGCGGGTTCTCCAGGGCATCTGGTGTTCCACCACTGTGCTTTGGGACTATTCCACCTCTGTCCTCTCAGCCACCATGGTAGCTTGATGATCTTTGGTGGGCCACTGTGCTCTTGGTACAATGTGAGCTCTCTGATTGCGTCTGTGCTCTTTGTGGCCACCATCATCATAGCAGAAAGTCTTGAAGGAATGCCAGGAATGTTTGATGATTTCCAGGAGCTGAGATCCCTCAAGACATTTGCCCCAATTGTGTCCCACAAGAGTGTCCCGCAAGAGTGTCCCACAAGAGTGTCCCACAAGAGTGTCCCACAAGAGTGTCCCGCAAGAGTGTCCCAAATGAGTGTCCCACAGGAGCGTCCCACAACTTGGTCCCGCAACAGTGTCCCACAAGAGTGTCTCACAAGAGTGTCCCTTAAGAGTGTCCCGCAAGAGTGTCCCGCAACAGTCTACTTCATGGGTGGGTGGGTGGGTGGGCGAGTCAAAAACAAACTTGGTATGGCGTTGGCAATTGGTCTGCCTAGTGTGGCGCATGGGCTGCCACTGCACACGGACAGGGAGAGCTGCTAACTGACACTCTACTAGATGGTTCTGGCACTGGATGGGTGGGTGGGTCAAAAACCAAAGAAGATCGAGTTTTTTTGATAATATATAAATTAAGGGTACATGGTATACGCGTCATTGAGCGACTTATTGCAACACGCAATGAACTACTTGCTTTCCAAGTCACCTGCAAATTGGTATTAGTTGCTCTTTTTACGCCACAACATTACACAGGAACCCTACTTGTTGTTTCTGGCAAGGGGCTCCATTGTTACAAAACTCTTTTGAAACACATCGTTCGAACCCTGTTTCTTGCGGGTGAAAAGGTGTAGTGTGTCTTCCTTTCGTATGTTACACAGCGGTCGGCGCAAGTTCCCAATGACCACCGTTGAAAGAACGGTGACGTGTGCCATTTATTTCATTCGAACCAAATGATTCGAACCAAATGAACACAAAAACCACCTCAACGCTGTTGCAAACCCTCAGTGCCAGGACTTCACACCCTGGGCAAACGCCTAGTAGAATTCAAGTGGGGAGCAATAACCCGATGATCCAACAATCATCTTTCCACGTTTCTGAAACCTGTCTTTGTTTGGCTGGTCGTTTTTCGCTGTTGGGCTTTTGGGTCGAGAAATAACAGGCTGTGAGTGAAAGTTGCACGCCAACAATAAATAGAAAGGGTATGTGTGGGTTTCAGATCCGCGGCATCTTTTCAGCACACCGTCAGCGACTGCTGCAAACTGTCAGTACGGCACTGCACACTCCTAATCCACTTCTTGGATCGGGTCAATTTCACGGTTCTCTTCCTCCTCACCCTCGTGAGAATGGGTTCCCTCTTTTTCGGGAACGTCGGGAACCTCTACTGCTTCCTCTGGAACGACAGCAGCACTGCCATCTGCTGCTTGAGCTCCCTCAGCAGGAACCTCTTCCGGTCTATCGATTGCAGGCCAGCAGCCTGCAAGCCCCGACAATTCAACACTGACTGCCTTGGATGGAGAGATTGCGCCTTCAGCAGTGTCACACAACTGCAAGCGCTCTTTCAAGGCCTCCTCAAAAGGGGAAACAAGCAGGAACCCACCAAAAGTTGGAAGTGAACTTGGGCCCCAACAACCATTTCTTGAACCGCTTCAATGGAGTCGCCCTTGAGCAACGCTTCCCGACCAATTTCCTGAACCAGCACTAAAACAAATTGCATTCTTTGTTGAAGACCTGTGGGTTTGAGGCCAGAACACAAATTTCCTTCGATTTCTCGTGCTTGTAGTATTTCCCTCCCGCCTTCGAATGACCATCGCAGCCACTGGTTTCAACATGACACACTCTAAATAAGGACGGCGCGGATCCAATCAACAGAGCGAACATGATCAATGCAAAACTCAAAAAACACACACCTTCAAGACTTCTGTATTGTTCACCTTCACCCCATAGACATTGCTCTTCTTGTAGTAATAGACGCTGGAAACCGACCGAGTCTTTGTTCCTGGCAAAAAAAGGTCCTTCTTTGTTCTGGGTCTTTGTCACTGACTGAAACTATTATGGAGAAACTAACATGTCATCGATGCCACGCCTTCCGAACTTGCAGCGGCTTTGGCTTTGGCCTTCGCTTTTGACTTGTTCTTTGCTTTTGCTTTAGGTTTCACCTCGGGCTCGCCACTTGGCGGAACACTGTCAGCTTTGCCTGCATCTTCCAAGCTCCGCTTGGATGCTGCAGGCTTGGCCTTCACAGCTTTGGCTTTCTTTTTTGCCTCTGCCTTCACCTTAGGCTTCGGTGCCAGCTTCGGTGCCTCAACCTGCGCTGCTCCAGCGCTCTCAGGGTCCTGTGGGATCTCAGAAACAGCAGCATCGAACGTCACATTTCTGGGCTTCTTCAAAGCAGCAGGTCGTTTCAGAACAAGGCCATCTGCCGGCCGTTTCGGCGCCGGCTGGGGAGGGTCCTGCGGCAGCAAATGGAAAAACCCTGTCACTGGCTAACACACACCCTCCTCGTCAGAGGCAGACAACTCTTCCACAGGAGCAAAAACGCCCATGAAGCTACAGATTGTAACAGCAAGCGTAATCGCGCGCAACGGTTTGCGCAAATCCTGGAGCAAAAAGCAACCATCAAACGGAGGCAAAGGTCATGACATCCCATTGAATTCTGCTGGCCATTCAGCATACAACAAAAAAAAGTAGGATCATTTCACAAAGGATTTTCCAACGGCTGGCAAGATTGCCGGAACTGCCAGCTCTAATCTGAAATCTGCGGCGCCAAAACTGACTGACTCTAGGAGACTCCGCTCCAGAGCCATTCCATCAATGCACTGCCAGGCCAGGCTACTTCAGCCGGACGCTGCAACCACCTTTGAACGTCCGCGCGCAAAGACCTGTTCTAGGTACTACACAAAAAACTAATGGTATTAGTTATTAACAAGCTTGTGAGAGCTGCGCACGTTTAACGCGAGAACAACCTGGCTGGCCTAAGAGTGAGTACTCACGACACCCGCACCCACGTGTCAGGTGGAAGCTTGACACTTGCCGCGAGATACAGCTTGGCTTTGGATCCCAAAATTTTCGCGTCCGAAGCGCCCGTCTGAAGTGCAACCTGGCGCAGGCAAGCGATTGGATCTCGGGTCTTGGCACGGTTCTAAACGGCGAAAACAATAAGCCACACTTCAGATGATTATTAAACTTGAAGACCCAGCTTTATGAATCGTATACAGTATGCCCTGCCTCCCAGATCACTGAGCACGTGCGAGTTTTTGGCAATTTGGCCATTTGGCCAAGCCAAACTGCGCCAAAGGAAGCATGCCTGCGAACCCACAGTTGCACACTTAAGACCACTGGAATGGACGCTCGTTTCAACACAATAAACACCAGATGCTCCTGGGCGCTGCTCCGTCTGCCAAAGCTGTCGGCCGGAAAACGTTGCACTTGCCACTTGGAGTGGCACTGACATTGTAGCGATATGGCACTGCCACCGGATCTGCGCCATCCGCTGCCTTGGCCAGGGCAAACATCCAACAACTGAGTGGTGATCTGACTGACCACAATCATAAGGACAAGAAATTCATTCGGAGCTATGAGGCTGGACGCTGCTTTGGCGTGAGCACATGGTCCGCCAACTCCACTTCAGCCACCCCGTGGACAGTCGCACACTGGTGGAGATAATCTGACAAAGCCAAGACCTTCCGATCTTTGGTTAGAACCAAAGCAAGATCGTTTGGCAGGCGGAAAGGCAACCCGTTGGCTTCATGCTCCCCCACACCTGTGCAGGATTTCAATGAGACAGACACACGCAGGTGACAAAGAAAAGATATGTCCTACGCAGGCTTTCCCAAACTGACAAAGAAAAGATATGTCCTACGCAGGCTTTCCCAAACTGACCTGCGACGATCTTTTGCTCGTAAGCCCCAACGTTGAAGCCACAGAGTTCGCACGCAGAGAATGTGACTTCTTCCGAGGTCGTGTTGCCAATGTACAGCTGGAAGGTGGTGGTCAAGAACAAGGCCGGCTTGGTGCGAGAGCCATCCACAGACAAAAGCCTACAGTCCGCACAAAAACAAAAATTACAAAACAAAACCACCCAAAATCCTTTTGGTAGAAGGCAGTGACCCTCCGCCTGGGCTCAGTGAAGCTGGCCGCCGGAATCAAATCCAAGTCCACAGCTTGAGCCGGATCAATGGGAGTCGTTCCACCTTCAATGGTGTAGTCAGGTCGGCCAACTGCACGTGGAACAACCGTAGTTGAGCGACCATCTCGGGTCACTGCCACTGCAGACGGAAAGGATGCCTCAAGCGCAGCCTTCATTTCCAAGACTTCCTTGTGCGCAGCTGTGCCGGTCTGAAACTTCTGGAGCAAGCTTTCGGGGAAGAAGGGACGTTGCTCGCTCCATCCCAAGATCTGGAGCGTTGGCTCTGGAACCGGGTCTCGCCGCCGTGTGGTGGGTGGACCGTTAGGGTCGCTGTCCCAGCTCTTGTACACCTTCTCTTGTAGAGCTTGCTCTGAATCTTTCCCTTCAGAGCCGAACAGCAATCCAAAATAGACAACTTTTGGCCGAGTCGGGGGCACTTCACATAGTCTTTGCACCACTGCGCGACCCATTTCACAGTACCTGACAGAGAGATGGTTTACAGCGATATCCTATATTTTGCATAAGGCCGCTCCTGGACATGGGGCCTGGGGTGATGTGATTGCAGTCCAAACCCAAACCACTCCACAGCTCACAACCAACAGAATGTGAGTTTTGACATTGATTGCCAAAGCGCTTGTTGGGCAAAATGTCAAACACAGCAACTGCGTCATCTGGGCCAAGTTCGATGCCTTTCAGCAGCTCTTTCAATACATGCTCAGAAGCTGACACCCCACGCCTAGGCTGGCTGGCAGTGCTCAAAGGCTGACAAGCTTTCAGAAACTGAATAGCAGCAAGTGCAATTTGATAAGGGGCGATCGAAATTAGCCTGAATAATAATAGGAAGAATGACCGGGGTTGGCAACATTGACAGAGACAAGTGATGATTACAATCAAATCACGGCCGCTAAAAGGTTAAGGGATATGGTAGCTGGAAACAAACAAACAAAAAGAATTTGCGCGCGGTTGCGTTGAGGAGGAAGCACCGAACAAAACACCGTCCTATGCGCTCGTTGTTTCCCACTCCCCGCAACACAAACAGTTCTCCTTGTCACGACCAAGCGTCTGCTCCACTCTTGCAGAAGCTCCTGGCTTGGTCTCTGGGTCATAGCCGATCATGTCCGCAACACGGATCAACGGGATGGATTGAATGACTGATCGATCCCACACCTGGCTGGATGTCCATGCGCCCTCAGAAGAGTTCTCGGAGGCAACAACGAACTTGGCCTCTTGCGCAGTCTTGCGCTTGTCTGAGGCAGAGCTCCCCTGCTTCACGAACTGCAAACACACCTGATTGAGCACATACATGCCTCCGCTCATGAGAACGTCGTCAATCTTCCGCCGGTGCTTGACCAAAACATCTTGAGAGATTGCCGTGTGAGGGACTGGAAGGTAAACAAACCCACCTGCGCTGGGCGACATGCTGAGGCAGGCGTTGAAAGTCTGAAGCGCATTCGCTATGTATGTGGCATTCGATGGCCACACCGAGAAGTCCAACACAGCCAGAGGCAACCTGAAAGCGAGCAAAAAGTCAAAGCAAGCCATCATGGACAATGTGTAGCTGTCTAGACCAACTAAAAAACAAGTTGGGCAAGGGCCCCGCAAATCCAAGAAACACTCGCCCACCAGACTCACTCATCTTGGCATGGAATCTCCCAAACTCAGCCAAACCATGGGTCATGTTCTGGTCCACTTGCAAGACTTTGCAATTCTTCTCCATCCAGTCTCGCGTGTACGCTTGCCCCTTCCTCTCAAGGTCTAAACATTGGTCTGCCACTGTCACTTCTCCAGAAAACATTGAAATAATATATAGAATGCGATCAGTGCCTTGCAGTTTAAACACTTTCGCACCCACAAACCCGACTCTTGAAGCTATATGTCTTAAACGATTGATTATCTAAATGTTAAATTCAATTCAAAACCGAAAAGGCTACTATAGGCGACTTCTGCAGCTGGATTTTTGGTGTGGCAATTGAACAGTGACAGGAAAAGAACTTTTGGCCATCGTCACGACAGTCCTCTGTCTCTCACGCAAAAACAACTGATCCTTGGCTGTCTCCGCAGCAGCAGACTCAGCGGTTGGCATCCTCTGTTTGAGGGTCTCCATGTCCTGCTTGAAGTGCACCTTGATTTGTTCCAGCCTGGCTTGGGACACCTTCTCAGCCATTTCCACATTCTTCTCATCGATTTCCTTCTGGGCCCGCGACTCCACAGCGCTCACCACGGTCCTGACTCAAGTGGTGAAAACGCTAGCTGCCCCTTCACCCATAAGGATGGTTTAAAACCTTTCAATGAACCAATGTTATTCTGCAATCCCTCACTCTGCAAAAAGAACAATGACACTGGCGCTGGCTCATTTGCTCCAACAAAAAATGCATATGCACAGGGCGTTGAACTGGAAGCCAAACCCAAACACACAGAGGCAAGAATCCGCATGAATGACACCTCACCCAATGAAGTGCTCGGCACAGAGGTACTCAGCAGCTGCTCTAGCTCCGCGTCCAAGAAGCCCTTCATGAACTGGTCGTTGATGTCGCCGATGCAAGCAGTAAAGTCTGCGTGTGGGACTTTCGCTTGAAGAGCGTTCCTTAAGAAGATGAAAGCTCCGGTAACTGCGTGCAGAGTCAAAGCCTCCTTGACAGTCCAGCAAGTCTTGCTCACCTGTCGGTCCCAGTCGCCTTTGAGCCGTTCCAGGAACAACCACACCTGAGCGCTGACAGTGTGACTATGTGACAGCTACAAACTGTCTCAAAAACTTTGCAACCAACCTCTTACAAGCAAAAAAGCGTGCGTAGCTCAGCTCAAGAATCCAGCTGGTCATCAGCTCCATTTGTGCACGCGTCATTCCAGGACTCCAAGGGCCCAACCCCACTGGAGAATCCGCGATTGAAGAGGTCTCTGGCCAGGATCTCGTGGGAGATCCATTTGTTCATGCCACGCGGCCGGATGTCTTCACGCAGTTGGGCGACCACCGTTGGCGGAACCTTGTCCTTCAAGTTCGAGACCGCTGCTGCCTCGCGGGAGCCAATCTGAAAAGCCTTCTGGATCCTGGTGGTGTTCTCCCACTCCTGGCAACAAACTTCAACTTGCGTAGTTGAAACTAGCTGGCCACAACCATGAAACACAACTGGGCGACAAAGCGTTCAGTTGGAAAAAACTTCAGGGCCGGAGCGCACAAGCATGAACTTAGCTTCAAGCGTCTGTGAAGGAACCGCCATCAAAACCCCCCTTGGCCAGAATATCGATTTGTCGCAGGAAATTGAAAGCGTTTGGCGCCCTCCGGGTCTTGACAGACCCAAGAGTGATACCTGCCAATCAGAAAATCAAAACGTGATTCCACAGCGCTTTGACAAGGGGTTGGAGCAGCAATGCCAAAACAAGGTAACTCTTGCCTCTGTTTGCCCACACAATGTCTCTGACAGTTTTGTAGGCGCTGGCCGTCACGTAGACAGCGGTCAAAGAGGTCTGACAAGTTCCAACCAAAACTCGCACGCACACACACACACACACACCTGACCACCAGCCACGAACTGCCTTGAATTCCGTCGTCAAGTCGTCCAGCGAAATGTCTAGGGCCCTGATGCCTTCCACACACAAGCTGAGTTTAGATCTCCCGGCCAAAACCCCACACCTTCCACACAGATGAGGGCTGCGAGGCTACGCCTCCACCCTTTTACAAAGGCGAGGCTCCACGGAGGAAGGAGATCACCTAGACACAATGAATGAGAAGCATCAACCTGATTCGTTGGTCATTTAACTACAGAACCAGAATGAGACCCCAACCTTTCCCTGGCAAAGTAGGCAAAGTATCTTGGGGCGTCTCCAAAAATGCAGAGTCCGGGAGAAGGACTGCCAACCGTTCCACACCTGGCCAAAAACGCATACTCTGGGACAAGGACTGCCAACCGCCCCACACCTGCCAGCACCTCAGCATTTGTGCGGAATCCTTCAGTGAGGATTAGGCCCATCAAGTTTTCGCATTCTTCTGGCTCTGCGTAGCCAGCAACGCCATAGTCTGTCCTGGCAATTGAAAACTGACAAAAAAGTGTTGGTGGAGCGCGGTCCTGTAGCTCAAATGCCACAGTCTGACAGTATGTGGCCCCGGGGTGAGCGCAGTGCAGTAGGAATGCCTCAGCGCACAAACACACACACATAGACGTGAGCACCGGGCAAAGTCTCAGAGTCTAGAGTTGAGCTGTCAACCGTGCGTCGTCACCAGGAAAAGTGCTCTCAATCCACTCAGCAAATCCCATCTTTTCTGCCTCAAAGAATCTACCCACACATGAGCGGCGCCGATGGTTAGCGGGTTAGCGGTTTGACAAGCAATGACACCAGCGCCTTTGTTGGGTATCGCTTCTGCAAAAACTTGTCTGCCCCGCCAGCTGGCACAACGGTGTCGCGGAACCTTGGCGTGTTTGGCCATTAGCGATAAACTATAAATAAGGATCCACTATTAGCCAAAACTGCAACCTGGCGTTCATCTCATGCCTCAGGAGCCGACCATGTCAAGATTTGATTCACGTGCGGCAAATCAGAGGTCGCCAACTTTTTGGCCGGAGTGGCCCCGCCACCACCGCCAGATTTTCTCTTTGGCATGATGACTACAATGACAACCCTGACTTTGAAGCCAAAAACACCTTCCATAAAACACGCTAGCCGCTAGTCCAACTCAACTTCTCATTCAAACAACAGCACAATACAGGCTCAAGGTTGGGACATTTTTGATCTCTGTGAAAAATGGAAGCGTCATCCCGTCTTCAACTTAAGTCTATGCTGACTCTTAGCTGCATGTGTTGGGCTACCACGTCTCCGGTGAGAGCGGACCACGCACACCAAGCCTGGCAAATCAAAGGGAGCAAACGTAAGCTCCAACGGCAACAATAATAGTAGTAGCCAAAACCTAGGACCAATCAAATGTCCACGCACTGACTCCGGAAATCAAACGATGCCCCTGGCCTCCATGCGCTCATTGAAGTCCGGCCTCCATACCAATCGCTGAGTCCAACACTAGTTTGACATCCTCCAAGACCATCACAACTTCCGAGAAGCAACCGTGCGCGTCAGCTGATTCAGCTTCTCCTAAGCCCAACGTTTCAAAGTTTTCCGACCACAAAAAGTCTTGAAGGAATGAGATGGCCTGAGCACACTCAGAAGAAATCAACTTCCGAGTTGACAGGTCTGACTCGTCAACAAGGAGCTGAATGTTCTTGATGTGCCGGCCCGGTGGCATGGTGTCTTCAACAGTGACATTTAGCGAGCGGAACGGAACGCCGCCTGCAACACACTTGGAACGCGTCAAGGCCATCCCAACATCGAGCAAACACTGGCAAAGGGGGAAACCTCCAAAATGGTTGACAAGGCGGCGACAGAGCTCCCGCACATTCTCACAACAATCTGGGCGCTCAGCCCACCACTGGCTCAACATGGTGACAACCTCAATGCTCAGGAGACACCCAGTCTCAAGCACCATCGCTGTCTCACCGCTGATTGGCGGTCCGGGAAATCAAAACAGCCGCTCTGGTCGGCGGCACAAAAAGAATTGTCAGGCAGCTGGCTGCAGCAGGGGTGGCAAAGCGCAAACAAACCCCTTTGTGTCAAGTTTCAAGGAAATAACTCACACAGTTTGCTGACAAACCCTTCACAACAAACGCTTGGCAGCAATCCTGGCAGCTGCCACGGAATGATTTTCTGAATCAAGCCTCAAGCAGTCAAGCGTTCCTCAGACAAGCCAGCACTTCAAGCATCAGCTAGTCAACCTTGAATGGCGACCACGCAATCCCAATGCCTGAAGCACAAAACGTTGAGGGCCTGGCCAAAACTCTGAGTGGCAGTGGCCTTGAACAGAAGCTGACATGGATTGAACACTGTCAAAACAAAAATTGCAGCCTGCATCGCACGACAGAACGTTTGGTGTGGAAATCTCAGAGCCTTTTGCACTAAAGTTACCACACGTCACCGTGACCTCGTGGTAAAACAGGTACAACACTTAGTGTTGAGGCAACGTGCGTGCTGCCTACTGCACAAAAGCTCCGACCTATGTTTGGCGCTTGCGCAACCCTCGATACCTTCACAGGTTAACACAAGCAACCTCCACAACAAATGTACCTGCAGCAGCCCACTCTGGGTTTGGGAAAATGACTGCACCGTGTAACGCTCACATCAACATCTAAGGGCAGCAGTGCTCAAGCGCCTCACTCAACAGTGAACTGTACAAATTTCAAGTTTGATCGCAGCAACTCCCAAGGCAAGGTGAGGGCAGCTCACCATGATGGTTTAACCACCAGAAGATGAATAGTCACGCCTCACCTTTTTCTTCGGGTTTTAGCTGCTTTGACACATGTTTCCTTGACCTGCAAACCAGATTTAAACTCAATCAACAAACTTCGTTCAATACATAGAACACAAGTTGTTGCGATGAACTTGACAACCTTTGTTAAATACATAAAACAGAATCTGCTGCACATGTACTACGCCAGACGCCCTGTGGACCCAACGGACGAAAAGTGGCGAATCCGGATTGGATTTGACACTTCCATGGTTGAGGGTTCTCCCATTGTATTTAAAAAGTTCCCCCGTAAAGCGAATTGCCGCCGCCAAATTTTCTGGAGTTTAGGGTTTAGGGTTTAGGGTTGAGCAGGTCAGCTCAACCCTAATCCCTGAAAGACTCTTACAATCAAGTCTAAAACTCATTGTCATGCTGCAAACGATATTGAAGTTGAACCTAAGTGAATGAACACCTCCAACCAAAACCCTCAAAGTGGCGAATCCGAGCCAGAATCAACACTTCTCAGCAATGCCTCGCCAACGCCAGGGCGTCAAATCAAGGTTGTTGGCAAAAACAACTGGAATCTACACTTCCTTGTCATTAGCTGGGAATCGCACGACGTGCAGATTTGACACTCGGGGGGGGGGGGGGGGCGCCCCCAAAAGTGTCGAAAACCACCTCGGATTCGCCACTACCACCCTATTAGAAACCCTGCGTTCTTTGGGTTGACCAGATTCACCTGGTGGACCGTTGCGTTTTGGAGGGTAGAAGTGTCGAATACCACCTCAGATTCGTCACCAGTGATGGGTTTGACAAATAGGGCCCAGAGTGTCAAATTCTGGGCCCCCCATTCCACCAGAGTGCAAACACTCTTCCGGTCAAGGAGATTTGGAAAGATGCTTTGGCACTAAGAAAAGAACACTGGACAAAGCGCGTCAAGCCATCATCATAGTTTCTACTCTACTTTCAAAAGACCCCGTGCCAAGTCACCTTCCCCATTGAGAGGCCTTAGCCTTAGCCTTGCGTTTGGGAAGGGGTTTTGCCTTCGGGCTAGCCTTGGAAATAGCACGGGTCGCTATATCCAACGCTTCACTCCATGGGACACCCTGCGCCCACGCCGCAGCCGCCGCGTTGTACGTAATGCGCCGCTTGGCACTCTCAACATACTTTGCGGCATCCTTTGCTGTACTGGGTCCACGCACCAACCTGGCCCCGCGCAATCTAGCCACGATCATGAAACTATAAAATTCCATGTGTTTATAGTAATTGCGCAACGTAGTCCAACACACAAAACAGTTCCTATCAACACACCGGGCAATGCACAATTCCATGTTTCTCCGGGGTTCCATACAGACCCCACCAAGTTTCAAAAAGGGGGAGACACCCAGGGCCTGACATCCTTTTTGTGGGGTTCCAAACGGGTTCGTTGGGAAACCCACAAAAACAGGAATTTTGCCGCTGAGTAACTGCAATGTGTTTCGCTTCGGTTCAAAGCTGCACGGAACCAAACCACGGTCACTGGCGCCACATCCCTTCAAAGCAGCGCACCTCAGTTTGAGGCACGCGATCCATCAGCTCTGAAGTTTTGAAGTTGGGGCTGATATGCTGGTTTAGGGCAGGCACATGCGTGGACCTTAAAACATGTCGCCAAGGGTCGCTGAAAGATCCAACAAAGCGTTTCGTGGTAGGGTATCGAGCACCCACTTCTCCAAATGTGTGGCAGCGCTGAACAGGTTGTATTGCCGCAACAAAGGAAGGAAGCTCAACACATGTTCTTTGTACTTCTCGCCAAGGGGATTCCGCTCTGCCACTCCTGCAGGTCACCAAACATTTCAATTGTTGAACAATACTTCTGGGAACACTGGCAACAAAACTCAGTTGTGAGCGCAAATCTCCTCAAGCCCCGACTTTCCTTTACCCTAACAAAACGGGACCTGGGGGTTCCGTTTTCCTCGGATTGAGAGGTTGCCGAGTTTTGAAGGAAGAGGATTGCTTGTGCGTCTGTGCTGCCCCACCTGCTGGCACTCCCAGGGGAAGCCTTACGTTGGCCACCTCCCATGGCAAGTACAAGTCGCAGCTTTGAAAATCCGGGTCTGCCATCCACAGCTTGGTCCTGAAAGAGTCGGGCCCGCCGGGCCCCGTGCAAGCTGCAGGACGCATACCCGATTGTTGGCAACTAGTGGATGAAAAAGATCGTGTTGTAACATTTCAAGCGAAGTAGCACGAAGCTTGACGGCGTTACCACTACAGTTTTCCCTCCATTAGATTTCAGTTTCCCTTGTGTTGGAACTTCTCCTCAAAACAACATCCCGAGGATGCCCAGCCAAATGCCAATAGTCGTCTGCCACGTGAACATCTTCCCCTAGCAGGGCAGCCACGTTCCCAACACGAAAGACATGTCAGGAGAGGTTCAAGGACCACAAAAACGCACTTACGCACCTGGAAAAATGTTGACAGAAAATTGCTGAGCTTTAGGACGATGACTTTCACCAAAAACAGGGGCGCATAAGATCATCGCGCAAGATGTCAGGGGACAAGACAAAAAACACATGGTAGTCAAAGGCAAGTGCGGCAAGTGCAAGTGCTCACCCAGAGCCTAGAGAACGGCGCTGCGCGAATTCAAAGATATGTGGGGCGCCTGGTCCTTTGATACCTTTCAAGAAACAGGTATGGCAGCTGTGAGGTGCCCCTTCCTCAGCTTTCCGGAGCGCTGAGAGTTCTAATACTAATCTCTATAGAAAGCGACCATAGGTGTCAATTGTATTTGCCCTCTGGGCCCCACTCACCCACAGTGAGCACGGACAAAGCAAGCAGTAGATCACACGCTGCGCCTTCGTCGCCACAGCTTATTACTAGATTATTAGACAGCACAAAACAACATGAAAGATTGGCAGGGCACCATAACTGACACTGAGTTACCAATTCCGTGTTTGGTCCAGCTGTACGCAGTACCGCCCACGCTCGTGGGGACGCTTCATTGCAGTGTCCATGAAGTTGGAGATGACGCTGACAAAGTCCGAAATTGAGCCCGCAAACCGGCATCGAGACACAAGGTATTTGGCGAGCTGACCGAACAATTGATCGATGTCTTCGTGGCTATGTCCAGTCCGAAGACTGGACAGCGTTGCACGCATCAGGATGCCAGTTGAGACACAATACGCAAGGAACTTGACAAACGGGTTGTTTTTCATCTCTCGCGGCGTGTTGTCGCATTGAACCGTGACGGCAGCACACCGAAGGTCAACTCCCTGGTTCCGAAGAAGCGTCAAGCAATGACCCACCAGCTCGATCATTGTTGAAGAATCTTTCGGAAGGTCTTGCGCCGAAACGCTAAACAATGTGAAGTACCCGTGCGCGATGACACCGGTAATGTGCGCGCGAGGGCGCTGAAATGCGCTCAGCTCCTTGCTCCTGAAAACGTCCCCACGGGGATACATAAATTTTGCTTGGTCCATGGAGTCTACAATGAGAACGATGTCTGGGGAGCCAAGCCGCGACGCAGCCCGCATGCGCCAATACACGCACCCATCTTGGTATTGCTTTCGCAGGTGTATGTTGTACAAATCCCGTTGGGCAGTCCTTGCTCTCAAGTGATGTCCCATTTCCTTGATCAAAAGTTTGTGACGAAGACAAACACTGCGCATCGCGTGCGAACTCGTAGCACGAAACTTCATGTGCGGGTATTCTGCTTTCCATATGCGCCAAAATTGCGCGAAGCTTGCCTTGTTGTCATTCTCAGACGCAACCATTTGTTCCCACAGGTCCCGCATCGTCCCCGGGGGCAAAAATCGCTCTTCAAGCCCAAGTCTCTCAGGATTGATCTTCACAGAACGGCAATGCCTGAGGTGGAATTGCACTGTGTGGCAATTTACCATTTGGACGGGCGCCACAGATCGGTGTTCACACCGATTCGGGGCGACCACGCCAAGTGGAAAATTGACATCTTAAACGCAGAAAACGTTTTTTGTAAAAACCCGGAACACAACTTGGCCAGTAACTTGGCCTGCAACAGGAAACCACAACAAATTCAACAAAGTATTCATATTTACTTTAAGCCAGTTGGCTTCCGGAGCTTTCGAAGCTTGGGAGTGGCTGCAGTACGTTGGGCTGATTCAACAAGTGCATCCATGTACGGATCTGCAACCAAATGTTTTTTGGTAGCAAAATCTTTCACCAAAACATCGGCAGGTTCATCTGCAGCATCGTCTCGGACATCCGGCAGTGTCTCTGCTTGGCTATTGAACACACCCTCCAAAAAGGTGATCACTTTTGATCGTACCTCGTTGGACGCCTCACAAGCTTTGGCATCAACCCCCAAGTAGCGCAGGTCCACAGGTGGAGCTGGCTTTCCTTGTTGTACCGCAGCTCTGATCTTATTGAAACGTGGAGTGCCTCAGTGACCATCTGTAACGCCACGGATCCTAATCCCCAGCGCATAGTACACAGACCCTGGCCAACAAACATCAGCAATAAAATTGAACACGTACGGCTGGGATTAACCACCAACCATACGCCCAGATGAACGAGTGACACCAAATAATTGCGGCGGAACAAAATGGCAAAGGAATCCACAAACAAACACCAAGACACCCACACCGTGAAGACGTTTCCAAGCTTTCAAACAAACCGGCGCACCAAGAATTTCCCACTGAGTTGAAGCCCCTTCGTGTTCAGGTGCGTGAAGGATGGCTTTCACTCGTTCAAAGAGTAAAGTGTCCTGGTCTGTCTTGTGGAGGTTGGCCCAGTCTTGGCGGAATTCCAACAGTTCCTGAAACTTGGCAGCGCCTGAGAACTTTGCCAAGCACTGGCGCTTGCATGACTTACATCTTTTTTGTATAAGTTCCGTCAGACTGGACCGCTCACAAAGTCTATTTTTGCTGCTATTTGCTGATTCGCCCCTCCTCCTTTTCTTCCTCGCTCTTCTAGGCTCTGGCGGTTCCGGCGCGGACGACCCGGCCTGGTTTGCGACCTCGTCATCCGTCAACGCGTCTACGGAATCAAAACAGACCAGAGGCCGTGGATCCTGATGAGCTGTCGCCTCCAACTCTGCATCCGATTCCGACAATTCAAGGACGGAGTCAAAGGACATCAACCAACCACTGGCAGCCACGCACTAAGCAAGACTTGGAAAGAGCCCCACCAATCTACATGGCATCACTGTGTGGCAAATAGCTTTTCCATTTGGGGCGGCCTCCAAAAATCTGGTCCCAGAAAAGTATATTATTGCAGCATTTGGTAGCGCTGAATTGATAGACTTGTTAGCACACGGATTCAAAAGTCTATCAATTACTTTGTAAGGTCTTGGAAGCGTCAACTTGCACACTTTTGGGGTTTGACGCGGACCACAGAAAGATAATGACTGGGTTGTTTCTCTGGTCCAAACGGCGCGCCCACACAAACTCAAGCACAAAAACAAACCCTGTGTATGTAAGCAACTGAATATAAACTCAAGCTAGGCCAAAGCGAAATCGATCGGTCTGAAGTCACAGCAAAGAATCAAACGCAACCAACAAGCGAACATTCATGCACCTCACCTGTTGAGAATCCAGGAAAAGGAAAACAAACGGACTCGGACGCGACACACGATGCACTTTTAACATCAAGGGCCAGGCGTTCTGTAGTATAGTGACAGTCAGCAGCCTGGACGCTTGGAAGGGAGGAAAAGCACTCTTTGATTTAAAAATATGACAAGGTGTCAAGCGATGGTTCTTCCACCCCATTGACAAGAAAAGCTGTCTAGCTTATATAGTTTGAAGCTGGCGCAAAAACTTTTTGGACACTTGTCTTGAACTTGACAGACTCTTCAGCGACTTGCCCAAAACTTGATGCCCAGCCAGAACACAACACTGCTCCCGCCTAGAAATTGCCCCGAATCACCAGGCAACATCTCAAGTCAGGCCTTGGTGAGAGAGGCGCGGCCAATAGGCTTTGGGAGGTTCATTGAGCCTAAACACTGTTTTCCAAGCTCAGCGTAAATTCAATAACACCGTTTGCATCCCAAAATTGGTTGTCAAGCGAAGTGAAGACTCTAGACGAGGGCTGTTCAGTTTGGGCGCATTACCAACCAAGGCTCTAAGAAACTGGCCGTGTAGTATCCAAAACTGCCCCGATTCAAAAAGGTAGCCAAGGCCCCTCAAGGCAGCAGCCACCAACGCTTCTGTTTATGAGGTTTCTCTGCGTCGCAACTGAGTATCAGGCACTCTTTACACCAGCGGCTGCTGCCGCCTCCTGGGAGGTTGGAAGCGCAAGGTTCCGTCAACAAGAATGATAGCAAATCAGGCTCAGGTCAAGGCACTTGTCATGGCCCGAGAGAGCCAAATGAGCCAACAAAGAAAACTTTGCTGGACAAATGGCCACCTTCGTTGACTTGACTTCCTCGCCGTCATCCTGCCTGCGCGCAGCAAACAGCTACTATGTGTGAACACGAAACCTTCTCGTGGGTGCCCCCAGCCTTTTGAAGCTTGTGAGCTCCCACCAAGCTGGGGAATCCACTGAGGCTTGCTTGTCTTCAACAAACATGAAACAGTTGCTGCAACACTCAAAGTCATGGCCCGTGACAGCACAATTGCCCAGGTCCAGGGAGGCAGTTGACTCCCAGTCAAACCGCAACACGGGAGCTTCTGCGAAGTCGGCCATCATGTCCCGGAAGAGGATTCTTAGCGCGAATCAATTTGGGGTGCACTTCCGGCATCCGCAACCGTCAAAAATGCAAAACCAACCATGTCCAAAAAAACAAGCCATGGCTCGATGTCCTTGGCTTTTCCCCAACTTGTTGAATCATGAAAATGGCTTTGCACCCAAGTTCTGGCACCTCTGCTGCCATGAGCTTGGAATAGCGGCAATGCACTGAATCAGGTAGCAGCATCAGCGGCACACAGGCCCCCAACAGCTTCTTTGGGTCTTCAGATTCTCTCAGCTGGACACAGCCATCACGACACTGGAAAATATTGGGCTCTGGCATGGCGAGGAAGCGTGGAAACCTATTAGTTAGCTGGGCCTTGTTCTTCTGAGAAGCAGCAACCGTGCCATGGATGATTTCCGCCGACGGAAGTTTGAAACTTGTTTTCACTCACGGGCCAGAAAAAGAGCACTTTTTGTCTGCAATGTAAAGCAATTATAGCACGGGCATACTGGAACACTGGAACTAGTCCAATCCAAGTCTAATTGGTTCAGCACGGTCGCACTGCAGCAGCCATCGCAAACATGTAAGTGAACAACAGCTCCGTATTGTGGAACTTACACATTAAGGGCTACAACAAGTAATAGAGTGATGAATTGAGCTGATGCCCGCTGCTACAAGAAGAAAAGCCTGACTAATAACGAATCTAATTTCACTGACCACACAGGACACAGGGATGAACGGGGATGAAGATCAGCTTGGCCATCCAAGCCATGTCACACGATAAAGTCGACAATTGAAAGTTACTGATTGAACACATGGTCAGCAGTGGCCTACACACGGCCACACATTGCAAAGCCACCATCCTGGCCGTCTTCATCGCAGGCACTGACCCTGCACATAGGCACCTGAGCAATAAGTAGAGAAGAACGACAGCGACCTTTTACAAAACACGAACTGCACGCTCAATGGATGTGGGTCTTTCCGATTTTTCATTCAAATGTCCCCGTGCGACCCCTTCAAAACCAGCAGGCCTCTCACAGGCTTCAACCGCAAATCTCCAACCTAGGAACAGCTCCGCTGCGAGTCAGCGGAACCTCTTCTCAGGTGTTTCTTTGAGGTATGACTAGCCCACAAGCGCTTTTGTCAAAGCCCTGAACCAAACATCCTATCCAAGGACCATGCGTGGGCATCCCAAAGCTGCACCTGCGCCAATCAACAACTTCTACAGCGCGCCATTACAGCGCGAACAATCGAACAATGAGCTGACCTGCCGCAACTCTTCTTGGCTTCAGAAGCTTCTAGCCTCAACGCGGCCGAACGTAATAGTACTTGGCAAGAGATCGATCCAAATGCACTCAAAGACTGAGCGCCCAGCAAATCCACAACGCTGGGTTGAAGCCAGGCCCGTTACTTCAAGGATCTGGTTTGCACCGAATTAGTCTGAACTTACGTAGCCCAAGCCAAGGTTTCATCAACCTTGGAGAATCTTGGACTGGATGCCTGAGATGATGCCAATGGCCATCTTAGCCTGCAACGGGACAACGATGTTTCCTAGGCACACGAGTCTCTGGCGATCGGTCTTGGATTGTTCTGCAGCCAGCCAATCTTCAACAGCAGGGCGGGTGCCCTCGTTCCATGGCAAGGCCAAGTCAATCTCAGTCTTGAGACGACTCTCCTGCGCAACGGGTGTGTGAAATACAGACAGTTTGTTCTATGACATGGGTGGGCGAGGGCCGTTTGAACAACATCTGTCCGGAAGCTCCAAACGCTCTGCACCAATCACCAGGAACACCCTTCTCCTCCCAGCCTCGCATCAATTTTGGTGGGCTGGGCGTGGCCTTGACGACTGAGGTCAAGGCGGCAAAACCACAATTGGCGAGGGTCAACGAAGACCAGGTCACAGACATGTTTCTGTCCCTTGCTGCCTGAAATCGGGTCGGGCGTCCATCGTCAATTTTAAAAAGGGATCAAGTGAATCAAGTCTCTGGCTTTCAATATGTAGGCCAAAAGTTGACGACATTCATGCTTCTTCGATAGCAAAGCCCCAACGTTCTCTAGCACCATACCTTTCCTTGAATCTTGCAAGATCTATTGAACTGAAACTGGAAAACAACCAGACTGACACACTGGCATTACGCTCAAGGCCCTGACGCGCGCGGCATCACATCATAAACGCGAAACAATTCACGGATCAGTGAGCTCCTTCCGTCTTTTAGTCCTTGTTGTCGACCTGCTGCTGATACTCCCTGACCGCGATTGGCAAGGAATCGCGCAATCAGTTTACACACGCTGGATGAGCAAGGAAACAACATCAACAGATTCTGAAACAAAGCTGTTTCAAGGCTGTAGAAACACATCAAAAAACATGTAAGATAAACATTCCCTGATTCTGAGGAGTTCGCCTGACATGGGAACCCACCCGTCAAGACCTCCGCTTCAAGCGCGGCACCGCTTGGCTTGTACCCTCTAACGTCGTTCGCGATGCCACACTCGGGTAAAAAACCCTCTTTCTGACGTGCTCTCAGCACTGACACACAAAAGGTGTCTTGTTCCACCTGAAGGCGACCAAGTTTTCAGAATCAGATTCACAAAACAAAGTCATCAACTTCAAGAGCCCGACCATTTCCACACATTCTAGCCAACTGGCACCAGGCAGCACAAGTTGGCGTCGCGATGAAAGAACAAGTTGCGTTGTATCACGGCAACACCGGTCTGAATCTAGCAGCCCTAACCTTTTAGCCAGAACCACGCAATCTCTTACAGGCAGGTCCTGCGCTGTGTCCTTCGCTCCCCATAGTGGCATTGCACTCGCTCGGCTCACCTCCAGGACAAGCCTCCAACAAACACTGAAGTTGCAGGAAAAGCACTGGAATTAACCAACACTCAAAAAAAAGCAGGAAAAGAACCTTCAGAGGCGTTAATGACGATTGTAGGTACATTCTTGACAAATCGAAGACCGTAACCCTAAGGCCGGCCTTCTCGACAGGTTGTTTGTGTGTGGCATTGGGCTGAACGTTTGAAAGTCGCGCTTCCAGTTCTTGTTGGGAACACGCAATCCAGTGCTTGTTGTCCCAAAGCCACCTTGAAAACACAGTAGGTTTCTACAAACTGTAGTTGGAACACCTCAATGAGAATCTTCGAGGCTCCAACGTTTGCTGCCTCCAGTTGCACACCACAAGCGTTCCACGGAGGACCCTAGCAAATCTAGACTTATGTGTCAGAAACAATTCCTTGAGCAAGAATTTGTTTTGACGCTGCCCTACATGATCTTCAACCCTGCGCGCCTCAGCTGGTTGATGCCAACTGTCCGGACTGTTTGCCATGCGCTCCCAGCGGGATCCATGTCACAGAAGGAAAAACAGCACACTCTCTGGACCATGTGTCAAAGTGACCCCGCCCAACAATTCAAGTCCCTGTCTTTAAGGTAATATTTCTAGGTGGAACAATAACACGAAACCTTGGAATCT